GTCTAAAGCCTGGGTTCCTCTAGTCATGGCTTCTTCTCAATGAGCTGAGGAATATCCTCGGGCTTGTTGTTACCCTCCAAGATATTGTAGACAGCGGTGAAGAGTGGGAACTCGTCCTCCATACCCTCGGCCTTCAAGAACTCGTTGACCTCATAGGCAGTACTGGTGCCCTGGAGCTTTTGACCGTTGAGCTCAGACTGCTCGATCTCATAAATGGTCTTGCCGCGGGCGATGGCCATCTTTGCGCAGCGGAAGTTGCGACCGCCCATGCACGAGGTCACAACATCGGCAACACCACAACTCTCTTCAGTGAAGGTGCTTGTACGAGCACTCTCTCCGAAGAAAGCCTTGCCAAACTTGACCATCTCCAAGATACCGACACGCATGACCGCTGCTTTTGCGTTGTCTCCCCAGCCCAGGCCGTCCACGAAGCCTGCAGCCAGCGCAATGATGTTCTTCAGCGCTCCACCCAGTGAGACACCAGCGACATCGTTAACGATGTGTACGTGGAAGTAAGGGCGATGGAAGAGCTTTCGAACATTCTCGTGCGATAGAGGGGGGTACTCGTTGGGGAGAGCAGTCAGATGCGCCGAACGCTTACTGGGTTTCTTTTTACTGGGGTCGATGAGATCAACATGAGCAGTAAGATCAGTCTGCGAGGCACTCGGCGAGCCGCTGGGGGTAGGGTTGCGCGAGTCCATTGGTGGCGGGTCGTACGCTACTGTCGTCTCAGAGTACTTCTCTTGGGCAATCTCGGAAGCGATGTTGGCGCCCGATAGGGCACCGCAATAGATGTTGAGCGTCATGCCAATGGTCTCGGACATGAGTCGAATGCCCTTCTCGCTGACATCAACACCCTTTGTACAGCAGATAGCTCGCGCATATGGCAGAATCTTGCCGACCAGCTGCTGGCTTGAACGTGCAATGAACTGATGTGGGAGGACGAAGATGAGCATGGTCGAGTCCTTGCAAGAGTCGGGGAGATCGGGGTTGGCGACGACGTTGGACGGAAGCTTGATGTTGGGGAGGTATTTGACGTTCTCGTGGACTTTATTGATGATTTGCGAGAGCTTCTCGGGCTTGTCGGAGCCGCTGTAGTGAGGCGAGTCTTTTGGGAAGGTGTAGTCCTCCTCGAACACCCACATCTGCACGGTCTCTTCGAACAGCGACGGATGCTCCTTGACGTTCTCGGCGACCAGCTTGGCCATGGTGGTGCCCCTGTGGCCGTTAGCTCTTGATCCCAGCGGCTGTCCATGGCTTGCGCGTGGGAGCCATCTCCCCTCGCACCGGAGCTGATGCAACCACATACCAGTTGCCGGAGCCAACAATCGTCACCTTGTGCTTACGTCCAGCACTGAGAGTCGCCATTTTTGTCGAGTTATACCGTCTTCTCTGAAGATTCGTCGTGTATGGAGCGTGGATCGGTTCTGCAACTCGCTTGCGCAGATTTTGGCGTAGGTGATGATGGGGAGTGACGTAGTGAGTAGGTGAGTGGGACGCGAACAAGAAGAGTCTCGAGACAGCCACGACCTTGTATTTATGATGTCTAGATGCAGTCAGTAGGGAAATGTTGTCTGCTCGGGGTGCGGCTTTCACCTGCTGTCTTGGTATCCGCCTGGCCTCGGCTTCGGAGCTGACTGTGAGCTTGTGATACGGCGATGCCGAAGGCTGGGCTTTAGTCAACAGGCGGGCTGTTGGCGGTGAGGCGTCGTGAAGTACTGAGCAGAGAGCGGCTCCGACGGTAGAGTCTACTTGATGTTGGGTCTAGGAACGATTTCGGAGACGTGCGTCATGTGGGCATGGGTTCAACTGCATAACGCTTATCGTTCTTGAGCTTCGAGCGCTGATCACGCATTGACCAATAGGGCGACGGTCTAGCGCTACAGCTGACAACCATGGGTAGACTACACGTCCCTGCGCAAACTATGGCAGTTGAAGATGCGGGGAAGACGCGACGCGTCCACATGTACACAATCACCAAGCCTGCGCATCGGCACATGTTGGTGGATGTGATGCGCGCAAGTGGGAAAGCATCACTAAAACAGAACCAGACAGCGCAATGGCGGTATTGGTAGTATTGGGTATTACAAGTCGTGTGTCCTTTCATAACATCGCATTAAGTATCCTCCTAAACTCCCGTCATCTCTCCTCAGCCGCCGTGAACAAATAGATAGCAGTGCAAGCAATGTGACACCAACGTCAAAGCGCTGGGTACGTTATGCCGTAACTCCCGATATGTGGTATCGCCATGCGAGTATCCGTGACGCGAATCCATCCTCATTACCGTCCAACTGGGACCGGCCCGCAATCCATCTAGAGTATTGCCAGCTTACAAGGCGAAGCCGAAGAGGGCGAAAAGACCACCGGCAAGGGCAGGTGCGCCGTACATGGCGTTGCGGACGGCAGCACCCTCGGTGGGGGTAGAGGAGGCTCCGCTGGCGGCGGCATCGCCGGTGTTGTCTGGAGAAGAGCCGCTGTTGGTGGCCGAGGGGCTGCCAGAGGAAGCGGCACCTGAAGATGTGGCGGCGCCGTCGAACTTCTGGGTACCGCACTCGGCGTCACGGGCCTGCTCGCACTCGAACCGGGCAGCAGCGTCGGAACCGCTGGCGGTGACACACTGGTCGTACCAGTAACGGCACATCTGGCCCTCGACGGACTGCTCGTAGTTCCCCAGCGCAGAGGTGATGTCAGTCTCGTTCCTGCACTTGCAGTCGAACTCAAGCGTTTGCTAGGCATGTGTTAGCGGAAGGATTGCACGTGGCCGTGGGTACACCAACAGAATTGCAGTTGTTGCCCTGGCTGGCGACGGAGGACTGGCCACCGCAGGCGGAGACGCAAGTGTTCTGGTTGGCGTTGCACCACGCCTGCTTGTCGTCCTGGGGCACTGTGCCGGGGTCGACGCTGCAGCATGGGATGGGGGTGTTGTAGCTGCCAGTCGAGTTCTGCGCAGAGGCGAGGCCGGCGAAAGCCGAGGCGGCGACGATGATGGAAGAGTAGAGCATTGTTGTGGATGGGGCAGAGAATATCAATGCCTGCGCGGTACAGAGTCAGCGGGAGATCGGCAGCGGTGGAGCGGGCGCGGATTGGGGCTTGGGAGGAGCAGTGAAGAGGGCAATGGGCGCACTATATGGAGGGGGGCTTCGGGCGCAGCACAGGTGGGACTTACAGCGTGATTTAATGCTGGTTTGGGTGAACGGATAGAAGAGGCGGGTGTTGCTGGGGAGGGCAGGAATATATGCTGCCGCGCACGGGCTGGGCAAACAGCGCTAGCCGGCCGTGCTTGCCTCTAGCAGCTAGGGCAATTGCACCTCGAGATACGCTCAGACGCGATCAAAAGCTACCTGGGCGACTGATGCGAAAGCCGCCCGCTAGCAAATTGCTCATTTGCAGCGCCGTTGGGGCAAGGCCGAACATCCGGACGCTGTTGCGCGCGCCGGGCACGCAGCAGCAGCCTCGCGAGCAGCCATCGTCAGCGTCGCCGTGTGTGTTTCAGGCGACGACTGACGCCAAACCCGTCACGCCTCGGATAGAGCCCCCAGCCAGGCCCGCCGTGGTTGGCTGCGCGACATACCGCCCCGCGCCGATGTGTTGACCTGCTTGGCTCACGACAAAGGAACATGGTCGCAGGTCAACGCGCCTGTGCATCGCCTTCGCTGTGCAAACCCCATCGCCTGACGCGCACGGGGCTGCTCAGCGACGGTCAAGCATCGTCTGGCGGGCCGAGCTCCACTCCTCACCAGCGGCCGCCCAAAAACAACGGGCGCCTTGCACCATGCTCACCGCACCCTCGACGTCGCACAGTTTCAGATGCCATCGCATGTCGCAGCAGGCCCGGCGGCTCTCGAGCAGCAGAAACATGCGGCATAGCCACAGCAAACACGGCTGCCGTCGCTCGAGAATGCCGGATCCTGACTTCCGGCTGCGACTACCTAGCGTATTGCCTTGCTGGGTGGCCCGCATATGCTCACTTCCTCGGGCCGCACAGACGAACGACGTATCCACCGGCCCAATGCATGTGGGCAGTCGGCACCACCAATCACGGCCCTTGCCAAATCTGCCTTAAAAGACGCACCATGTTCCTCGTGAAGCTATTCGCATTGCCACACACCGCCGCGCTGCTAGCTGCACCTTTTCCCCACCTCTGTCCCAAAACATTGTCTTGGTTGCGCCGCGTCGGATATAAGCCCGTTGGGCGGAGGGCGGAGAGGCGCTGGATGCGTCCAATGCTCCAAGCTTGTCAGACATGCCATACATGGTGCCGCATTCTACATATGAGGCACGGTACGCCGTCTGGACGTCGCCAGCAGTGAACACTCGCCGTACAGTATTGCAACAACTCAACATCCGTGACACGTCGATAGACACTAGTCACTGGGTCGAGCATTGAGGCGTCGCCATTGCCCGCATTCGCTACCCCAGAAACACGATAGTCACTGTGGCGTTGCCAGTACACGGTAACACCTGTCGTAAGCCGATTACGCGGGTGTGCGACGCTCTCCAGCCGTTGTCGCACGCAGAACATTCTCGAGCCTCTTTTAGCCGTCTCGTGACGCCGTCTGCCATCATGACCCCCTCGCGGGACCGTACTCACTGCATCCGATGCGATCGAGTGGCGGCTCGCTTTGGAAGGCTGCATTCGGTTGGGCATGACCTGGTTGAACGCATGGTTCGTGCACGCAGCAGCTGACCTATCGTCCCAGAGCTTACAGGAAATCAAACACCTGCTGCCATCGTGAGGGTTTGTGTGCAGCCTCATCTTTCCATCAGATATAGTCGCATGTGTGTTGTACATGCAGTAGCTTGCCCAAGGAGCAGCTGCAGGGTCGCTACTGCCTTTGCAGCCAAGATGATGTCACGACTAATGGCGCTTGCATTGTCGCTGTCACTGTGGCCGCAAACATTGCACACGCCACTTGAAGCTGACGCATTCACAATCCAGTCGCACAGGCTATTGGTCCAGATAGTCCTGTTTACCTGGGCATTTCGTTATGCGCCCCAAAATGCAGAACAACTACTTCGTCTGCACGCTCGGCCAAGCGGCAGCCCTGAACACCAATCCGAAATCCTACCGAAACATTAGCGAGTTCCTCAGTCAGCAATCCCAGCATCATCCATTACTCCCAGCTGTTGGCTTTCCTATACCACGACCCAACCAGCGGGAATGGGACTACCGCGTCCTCTCGTTTGCAGACGTTGACCAGGGCACCAACGTCTTCGCCTCGCGCCTCACAACTTGCCTTGGCACATCTCGCAAGCTAGCGACTGTAGCCCTGTTGTGCCACAGCTCTCCGGAATTCCTCTTCACTTGGCTGGGTCTGATCAGACTAGGGTACTCCGTCCTTCTGATAGCACCACAATGCCAGCCAGCAGCCATCCTGCATCTCTGCACAGCGTGCGAGGTTACTGACTTCTTCTACGATGTTGCCCATACTGAACGGGCCCAGCAGACCGAGACGCTGGCAAAAGAACAAGGTACGCTGGGGCTACAAGTGACGCTGTTACCACTGAGTGGTGCAGAAGACGTTCTCGATGTGATCCAGACCCCACTAGAGAGTAGCGTCGAACCTCTTCACGTAGATGAAGGATCCATTGCGTACTTACACCACACGTCTGGAACCTCGTCAGGCCTGCCAAAACCGATCCCGCAATCCCATCGTGCGGCTATTGGCGTGCTTCCGCATCTCCCCAAGATTCCTGCCCTAGCATCCTTCACTACAACGCCCCTTTATCATGGCGGCATCGCGGATCTCTTCCGGTGCTGGACGAGCAATGCTATGATCTGGCTCTTCCCGGGCAAAGATGTACCAATCACAGCACGCAACATCTGCGAATGCCTGGATGTGGCCAAGACGTACGCGGCGACGGAAGGTTTACCCAAAGTCAAATACTTCTCATCCGTACCCTATGTACTTCAAATGATGGAGGCCGACGAGAAGGGTCTGCAGCTGCTCCAAGACATGGATATTGTGGGCGTTGGAGGCGCTGCATTGCCAGCAGAAGTGGGCGACCGATTAGTAAAGAGCCGTGTTAATCTCATCTCCCGATTTGGGAGTGCAGAGTGTGGCTTCATTCTGTCTTCATATCGCGATTTCGCCGCCGACGACGATTGGCAATATCTGCGGAACTACAACCCACCGAAATTGGTAGAGTTCGAGAAGCGCGAAGGGGACCTAGCCGAGCTTATTATCAAGCCCGGATGGCCACATATGGTACCTTGCAGGATCTTATACGACAAGACGACCGGCTGACTTGGAACAGGCCAAACAAAACCGACCGGACGGATCTTTTGCAACTGCCGACTTGTTTGCAGCACATCCGACCATTAAGGACGCATGGTTGTACCATTCGCGAGCAGATTCGCAACTCACACTGATAACCGGAAAGAAATTCGATCCGGCGCCCCTGGAAGACGCTATTGCGACTTCTCCTTATCTCGACGATGTGCTGATATTTGGCAATAACAGACCCTTCCCAGGTGCTCTTCTCCTGCGATCAAAACAGTCAAGTAACATGTCAGACCAAGAGCTCCTAGGCGCCGTTAGGATACAAGTCGAGAAGCTAAACAGCGAAAGCCAGGACCATGCAAGGATATCGTTTGACATGCTCGTTCCGCTACCCCACCAAGATCAGCCACTCGAGAAGAGCAGTAAAGGAACCATTATCCGGAGAGCGGCAGAGGCCCGGTTTGAAGACGCTATTAACAGCGCGTATGGCTCACAAGATTCCGACTCGTCACTTGAAGTAAGCGACGACGACGTGCCCCAGCATCTAATCGGCCTCATTCAGAGTATGACGGGTCAGACGGCGGAACTGAACAAAGACATAGATCTCTTTTCCTACGGTGTCGACTCAATCGCATGCATGCAGTTGAGGACACGTTTGAGACGCTTGATTCCCAATTTTGAAGGTCAGCTCCCGATGAGCGTCGTTGAGGACTGCGGTACCGTGCGACGATTGACAGACTATGTCTTACGGAAGAGGCATGGACAGAGCGACTCCGGTGGTGAGGACGAAGAGAAGCTGATGTTAGACCTGGTGAAGCAGTATGGCTCGTTCACGGCTTCAACACTGCGTACCGCTACCAATGGCTCCGTTGCGAAGAGGGGAGTTGACGAAGTGGTAGTACTAACGGGAGCGACCGGCGCGTTGGGAGCACACGTTTTAGACCTGTTGCAGAAAAGATCGGATGTTGAGGCTGTTTACTGTCTTGTCAGAGGAGCAGATGAGCATGCAGCAAGAGAACGTGTCAGTAAAGCATTGGAGCAGCGTGGACTAGTTAGCTTGTTGACCCCAGGAGCCGCGGATGGTAAAATCAAAGTCATACCGTCTCAGCTGAGCGAAGAACGTCTGGGACTGGATGAAGACGTATACGAGTACCTCGCCGAGAACGCGACTTCAATCATCCACGTCGCCTGGACTGTCAACTTCCGCCTGAAGTTGCGCAGTTTTGAGAAAGATAACATCGCCGGTGTGCGAAACCTGCTCGATCTTGCCCTCAAGTCACAGCGATCACAACCTCCGCGTTTTACGTACTGCTCTTCTACTGCAGCCATTATGAACGGCACCCTCGACGCGTCTGGTCAGCTACCCGAGGTGGTGTCATCTGAGCCCTCATCAGCATCTCCATTGGGTTATTCGCGTTCGAAGTGGGTCGCAGAGCACATCTGCCTTGAAGCGCATAATCGGACGAATCTTCGCGGATGTATAGCAGTAGTCCGTGTTGGACAACTCGCTGGGGATTCCACATCAGGGGTATGGAACACAAAGGAGGCATGGCCCATGATGTTGAGTACCGCGAGACTCATCAAGTGCTTACCTGATCTCGGTGATGAGCCTCTAGATTGGCTGCCAGTCGACGTTGCGGCGAAAGCGTTCCTTGAAGCTGCCGGTCCTCGCAAGGAACATGGGGAAATGCCAGTGTTCCATGTATTGAACCCGCACCACGAACCAAGCTGGACTCAGATGTTGCAGTGGCTTCAGAAGGAAGATCAGTTTGAGATAGTTTCGCCCAAAGAATGGGTAGAGCGTCTAGAACAGGCTGGTGACTCGGATCATTCTGCGCTGAAGCTGTTGGGGCTTTGGAAGGAATCGTACGGCCGCGAACTGACAGAGAAGACCGCGCGACCACAGTTCTCAACGACAAAGACGAGCGAGTCTGTACAGGCGCTGAGGAATGTCGAGCCGCTGGACAAGGAGTATGTCGAGAGAATATGGAACTGGATCCAGGAAAATGTCAAGTAGAATCGTCCACGGGCGAAATCAGGAACGCTGGGCCTGAACGGATTCACATTACCTGCCGTCGCCGCGGAGTAAGCTTAGAACACCATCAGGCATCCAACATAGACCAGGCTAGAGAATTACATGGCGACTTCAACACGTCAATCGGTCCTTTCTCTGCTTCCCCGTGCGATATGACTCGAACGTTACGCCTGCAGCATGACATGTGTGGTGTGACGTGCCTGCCAAACGATCAAGTGCTTAGCCGCGTCAAAGTGCATGCAGATGTCGTGTATGGTAACCACGACTGAACATGAAGGCTGATAGCAAGATCCAATGACCGTGTAGGAAATGGTAAGCCAACACTATGCGTGGCTGATAGGAACTCTCAAGAGAATACACTCGCGAAACCTACGTGCGCTCTGTGTGCAAGAACAAACAACGTAGTAGCAATAGCCTAAATCATCCTACCGTCCTACCAAGCCAGCCACCATGACACAAATCTACAGCCCGCAGTGAGGATGCGTCATGTCCTCCCGTCGCATTCTCGTAAGCGACAAGGGAGCGCCAACTCTTCCACCCCGAACCCCCGATCTGTCGCCAAGCTTTTCTCGAATGCGAGTCACACGAGCTTGGCGGTGGACGGGACGGGTTAGCACTTTTTGGACTAGATCCACCACGGTGAAATTTAACCGGTAGGGGTGGACGGAATTCTAGGCAGCTGCATCCTGTTGCAAGTGTGGTAACGAGGGTTGCGGACGAAAGCTGAGAGCGGTCACCGCTGTGCAGATACCTAGGTAGAGCGCGCTTTCAGTCGATGTGGGATGGGGCTGAGATGAGCTGCGTGAGTGCGCACAAAGGGAATGATGCACTGCGCCATAATCGCAACACATGTGAGAAACATGCTCGTTCATGTCAGAACATCATCGCATGAACTGCATCGAAAATAAGTCGGCGCGCGCGGACTCCGGCATCCAAATAAAAGCTTGATGCAAACGGACACTAGCTAAGCCGCAAGATCGCTGCAACGGCGCGAAGCTTCGTGACCATGTTTCTAGACTCGAATCCAGGTCTTCGGTTCCCGACGGCCCCTGCGATGCAGTGACAGGTGCAAATCGCAAAGTCATCGAGTCACCGGTGTGAAGGAATGGGCGTCTGGGGGCGCCATGTTGGGGGTTCAGGCGGCCAGTGAGAAGGCGGATGACTCTGTGAGGGTGTTTGACGCGGACGAAATGTGGTGGCATGCTGCGATGGAAGCAGAGAGTCATCTCGGTGCACAGATGCCAGATACGATGTATGCGAGGGAGAATGGACCCCCCCGAGACCCACTGGTACCAAGCTTTGTCCGGCAGCTAATTCTAGCGCCTTCGCAGCACGGAACGGGGGACGAAAGATTGTCTGCCTTCCATTTGGCAAGGAAAATGTCGGTTCCCTTGATTCCTTCAGCCCTAACTCCGCTCTCGTTACTTACCTCCTTTCTGGGGCCTGCAGAGTCAGGTAGTATATAGAGGCTGTGCTTTCCGCCCCCGTGGTGGTTCTTGCCTGCCTATCTACCAACGAGTCTTCCGCTGCTTGTGTTTACTTACTCCTCGCACATCGACGAGCTAGGCGATTGTTGTTTGCTTCCTTGGCGACTCCCGGACTTGCATTACGACCACTCTCTTCTACCATCGCATATACACGACACGCTCACTCTGTGCCTTGCCCATGAGCGCAAACCAGCTCCGCCCGTCCAGCATGACGGATTCTGAGAAAACCGCTGCGCCCAGCGTCCAAGCTACCGTTACCGACGAGAAGAAGGGTGCTGTCGAAACCGTTGCTCCTGCTGCTGGTGTAGCTGTGGATGCTGCCCAGCCCATCGTTGTAGAGAAGACTTCGCGACCCAACTCAACAGCCGAACCAACATCAGACGACGACGACAACTTTGAGTACCCCACAAAATGGAGGCTCACTGCGATTACCGTGGCACTTTGTCTAAGTGTCTTCTGCATGGCGTTGGTAAGTTGCTTACTTCTGTAATCCCCGGTTCCACGGCTTTGGTACGCCGTTGATCGACAGCGGCTACACCTGTCAAACCAACCCATGAGATCTGCACGTGAGTACGCGCTAACGCCTCTGTTTAGGATAACACAATCATCGCAACAGCTATTCCTCGTATTACAGATCAGTTCAAAGCGCTCAACGATGTAGGCTGGTATGGGTCGTCGTATCTACTGACTACATGCGCGACACAACTCATCTACGGAAAGTTCTACACCTACTACTCCATCAAATGGGTATACCTCATCGCGCTCTTCATCTTCGAACTCGGCTCGCTTATCTGCGGTGTCGCGCCAAACTCGACTGCCCTCATCATCGGACGCGCTGTCGCTGGTGTCGGAGCAGCTGGTATCTTCTCCGGAGCCATCTTGATCATCTCGGTCACCGTACCGCTGCGCAGTCGCCCTACTTACATGGGACTCATTGGAGGCATGTATGGTATTGCGTCTGTTGCTGGCCCACTGTAAGTTGTGGAGAAGACGTTTGGATCTAAGATCGACATGGACTAATGTTTGCTTTAGCATGGGCGGAGCTTTCACAGACCATTTGACTTGGCGATGGTGCTTCTACATCAACCTTCCCTTTGGTGCCGTTACCGCTGCCTTCATCATCCCCTTTCTCAGCGTCAAGCGTCGTGGCAAGAAGATCACGGCTACATGGCAACAGCAGCTTCAGAAGTTCGATCTTCCCGGGACCGCGTGTTTCTTGCCGGCTATCATCTGTTTGTTGCTGGCGCTTCAATGGGGTGGTAGCAAGTACGAGTGGAACAGCGGACGTATCATCGCGCTCTTCGTCATCTTCTTTGTCCTCATCTGTGGATTCATCACTATTCAGTGGTGGAAGCAGGAGGATGCTACCGTCCCTCCTCGTGTGTTCCTCAACCGCAATGTCTGGGGCAGCGCGTGGTTTGGTGCCATGTTGGGCGCGTCCTTCTTCCTCATCGTTTACTACCTTCCCATCTGGTTCCAGGCGATCAAGGGCGCGTCTGCAACCAAATCCGGTATCATGAACCTCCCCGCCATTCTGGGACTTGTCATCATCTCGATGCTTGCCGGTGGTGCCGTCACAGCTCTGGGCTACTACACTCCGTTCATGCTCACGTCGTCCATCCTGATGGCAATTGGTGCCGGACTTTTGTCAACGCTGGAAGTCAACAGCGGCTCGCCGCAGTGGATCGGCTACCAGTTCATCTTCGGTGCCGGTGTCGGTTTCGGTATGCAGCAGACCCTTGTAGCTGTTCAAACAGTCTTGCCGGCCGACGACATCCCCATTGGTACCGCGATCATGATGTTCACCCAGACGCTCGGCGGTGCTCTCTTCATCTCGGTCGGCCAGAACGTCTTCACCAACCAGCTCATCAAGAACCTCGCCAGCATCGTGCCCGATCTCGATGCGAGCATCGTCCTCCGTACAGGCGCAACCGAGCTCAAGAACGCCATCGACCCCGAGTACCTCGGCGGCGTACTAACGGCCTACAATCTGACTCTTACCCAGACATTCTACGTGTCAGTTGCTTGCGGTGCCATGTCGATTGTCGGCGCGGTGTTCGTAGAGTGGAAGTCGATGAAGGGCAAGCAGATCACCATGGCTGCTGCTTGAACGAGTCCCAAGACCGGGGACTTTATTTCGACCTTATGTGATGTCTTCTTGGGCGTCTGAATGCATGTTTTGTATGATACCCTTTTCCAGCGGCATGTTAGCACCAGCATCTTGCAGCGAGCGCGGCGTTTGTCTTCTGGCATATACATTGTAATAGACGAGTGATGAATGGGAGGAGTGATAGACACGGCACTTTGCTTTTTGGCCTGATGTGCTGGCAAAGGCATGACGACTCTTCGCTCTTAGAAACCTGTAATTGAATAGATCAACACAATTGCATTAAACTCTTGGCCCGGTCGTTTCACAGCCACCAGCCACACCCCGAGGGCTTGTCGAGCCGGTCCCACCCGCCGTGACGTCAGCCCGTTTGTCGTGGTTCGACTCTTTTGGGACGTCACATGCAAGTCCCTTTCCCACCCAGGACGGCCGAGAAGAAAGTGTGTGGAGCCGGCAGCTGACAGGGGCGAATCAACGCAAAGGGCGGCTGGAGAGTGGGTGCTGGATTGGTCGCGCGGGCGGTTGGTGTTCAACGTCGTCAGGCTTTAGGCTGATGCTTAGCAAGGCTTGTTTTTTGCAGGGTCAAGCCTCCCACTGGCGATCAACACTCATCCTGCGCTGCGCCCGCCTTCGATTGCGCGTTCGGCGCTTCTTTTCCCAGCCTTGCATATTCTGCTGACGCCCGCCCACGCCATGCGCCTGCAGACTGCGCTGCTCCTGCGACGATATACACTTGACATCCACTGCTAGCTGGCCTCTGCCGCGCGCCACAGTTCCGTTGCGCCGAGACGCGACAACAGCCGGCAGAGCCCGCACGACCCGACGTCTTACAGACAGAGCCACCGTCGCGCATCGCGGCCATGGCAGAGGAGAAGGAACCGAGGCCTGAAGCCGCGCAGAACGGGCATGCGCCGGTCGTGCCGGAGAAGGAGGGCGGGATGGACGGCGCTGAGAGCGAGCCCCCAAAGCCGCAGAAGACGGATACGTCCGGCAGCAAGAAGAAGGGCCCGGAAGGAGGCTTCGACGACACGCCCATACCGCGCGCGCCGCCCGGCTATACCGTCAAGTTCACCCTCCACCGCGCCAACAACCTCCCGCTCGCCGACATCAATACGCTCAGCGCCGATCCCTTCATCATGGCGCAGCTGTACACCGGCCTGCCCACGCGACACAAGGAAGACCCGCCGTTGACGCTGCGAACGCCGACAATCCGCCAGAGCACCGATCCCGTGTGGGACTGCGAGTGGGTGGTCGCCAATGTGCCCTCGTCCGGCTTCAACCTCAAGTGCCGCATATACGACGAAGACCCGGCAGACCACGACGACCGCCTCGGCAACGTGCACGTTACCGTTCCCTCCATAAACGAGAACTGGGGAGGCATACACGACCAGACATACCCGATCAAGAAGCGCATGGTGAGCAAGCGGGCCTATGCGCTGCGTGCCATGGCTGTGTGTTTCGGCAAGGCGCATCACATGAACGGCACGCTGAACGTGAGCGTGCAAGTGCTAGGCAGGACCGAGGATGAAAATGGGGGGCGCGCGTATACGATTGGACCGCAGTTCTGGATACGGCACTACTCGCCGCTCTTGGGACGCTTGCTCGGCCAGAAAGAGCCCAACAACGATGGCCGGGTGTCGCGCAGGAACGGCAAGCAGAAGCCCGAGAAGTACAACTTCCAGTCGAATCAGATGCAGATGCGCGGTCCGGTTCCCGAAGCCATGTACCATCGCTACGTCGAGTTCAAGCCTTTCGTTAAGAGCATGTTCACCGCTAAGGGCGTGCGAGGATTCGTCTTATCCAAGGCACTGCACCACCAGCATGCGCGCGTATACAACTTCGATCACGCCACAGAGTTCAAGGTTCTGCCTGCGCCTTGCAAGGAGTTCACGCAAAAGTTCCTCGAACTAGTCCACTACGATCAGGGTGGGAGAATCTTCACCTACGTCTTGACCCTCGATGCGCTCTTCCGATTTACAGAGACTGGTAAAGAATTCGGCATCGACATGCTGAGCAAGCATACCATGCACAGCGATGTGGCAGCTTACGTAGCATTTTCCGGTGAGTTCTTCATCAGAAGACTAAAGCACAAGGACCGCAAGCCTCCGGATGAAGGCGGGAACAACACATCCCACCCGCCAGGCGACATCGACGGCGGACCCCCCAAGGAAAGCCCAAACAAAGACCCAGCCTACTACGAACTCGTCATCGACAACGACTCTGGCACATACCGCCCCAATGCCAAACTCCTCCCTCAGCTCAAAGAATTCATGTCTCAGAACCTGCCTGGCCTACACATCCGCACCCTCGACTGCCAAGGCGACGCCGAGAAGATGGAAGCCATGAAGTCCGAACAGCGCGAGCGCAAGAAGAGGGAGGGCCAAGCTGTGGTCTACACTCAGATCAGCAGAAGCAGCAGTATGAGTAGTAGCGACGAAGAGGAACTGGATCGTCTAGAGAGTGAAGGTCAAATGGCGCCCAAGCATCTCAGACACCAGGTGCAACGGGAGGCCGAGGCGAGAGTCGATGCATTGAAATTCCATGCCAAGGAATACCGCCCGAGTAATAACCACGAGGGGTGGAGGGGCGATGGCCATCCCGCTAGAGCCGATGACGGGGAAGTGGACAAGATGAGGCAGGAGAACGGAGATGAACCGGTGGCATCGCACGAGAGCACACAATCTGGTGCTAAGAGCTAACCTGCATACTCGACTAACGTCTATTCCTTTTCGTCCATCTGTCATCATCACGCCTTGTACATGGTTTCCTTGATACGTTTCCCAGCATATCATCTTCTTGCACTCGAGCTTCTGCTACCTTAGTGTTTTCTTTTTTCGTTGTGCTTTCTTGAATTGCATCTTGTCCGAGTTGAAAACGCTTGCAGCTGAAGAGAGCCAGAGAGAGAGGGAGGAAACATTACATACACGGACACTCTCTCTACCCCGAGATACCCGCCATCCTATATTCCTGTAGTAGAAGAGCTTAATTTCCTGATATTATCAAATTACTTGTTATCATTGTAACGAATGCTTTTCCGTCTTTGTTGAACACTACGCATGAGCCCTGCCAACCGTGAAGACTCTACATTGGTTCACCCCAACCACGCGTTGTTCACACCCACTCTGGCACCTCAACCTCCGGCTTACTAACTCCAAACCTCACCGCCTTGGCATAATACTCCAACAGCGCTTCCCCTTCTTGTCTCCCCCTCTCAAACTCCTTCCTCAATCTCTCCCTCCCCTCCCCAAATAACCACACCTGCTCCCCGCCAGCACCCATCCGTTTTCTCATTCCGCGACTGTAATCGAGCGCGTGTCGGACTTCTCGGCGGTCTGTGGCCTTGGCTTTGAGTGCGATGTAGGCGGTTAGGTTGAGGAGGACGGCCAGGTCGAGAGGCGTTGTCAGGGTTGTTGGAGTGGTGGATGCTGAGGCGGAGGAGGTAGTAGAGGTCGATGTCGAGGTGGAGCTTGATGCGGTAGACGAGGGATATTGGGGCAGATCATGGCCGGTTTCGCTTCTTAGGGCAAGGAAGACGCCGGTTGTCAAGGCGGCGTGGATGTAGGTTAGTGGGAACTTGTTTGTGGCTGTGTGCAGTTCGAGGCTGCTTTCCAGGGCGCTGGATAGTGGGGTCCAGACTTGGAGTGGGGGAGCGCGGGAGCTGTTGGTGTTGGTGTTGCTGCTGGTGCGTTTGGGCATGGAAGAGGACAGGGTTTTGAGGACCCAGAGATGAGCGTTCGCCCATTGTTGGGGTGCATTCCAGTTGGTTTGTTCAGACGCGTTGTTCAAGCTCGTTTCGAGTAGACCGGGATATGCAAAGAAGTAGTCTCTTATCGCGCGGTGGGTGTAGCTTATCCTCAGGCTCTCGGTACTGGCGTGTTGATCGGGTGGTGTGGTGTCGAAGATGGTCAACATTCCTTTACACCGCTGTTGGGTGAGGGTCTGCATGTCTTCGACTCTCTTACTTATCTCGACTGCTGTCAAGGGCCGTACATCTGCGGCTAGTGTTGCTGACGTCTCGGCTGTGAAGGCAAAGGAGAAAGGCAGGATGGCCGGGCATATGTCTTGATGTGAGAGGAGGGCGTGCAGTTTTCCAACTGCTTCGACGTCCTCTGGAGCCATTTTGCTGAGCATGTGGGCGAGCAGATCGTCCAGGAGATAGGGAAGCCCCTCCGCGCGATCTTTCAGGACGAGGAAATCAGAGTCGGGCTCTAGACTTTCGAAGAGAAATGTGGTGGCGAGTTTCAGCCACAGGAACACTCCTGAGCTCTTTTCAGCGAGCATCCCGACGATGTGTTCTTCCTCTTGGCCGTCCATCTTCCCTCTTAGCGAATGCAACTTTGGTTCCTCGCCGAACGTTCTGATCAGGTAAGTTTGTATATCATCTCTCGTGTATTCCTCCAGTACCATCCTAGGCTTATTCTCAAACGCCGAATAGAAGACTGGTGAGCTCCGGGCTGAAAGCAGGAACTTGACGTTGTCTCTCCGCGAAGTGCTGAACACGAGGTCCATCAATTCCTTCGGATAGTCATCCGTCTCATCCAGCCCATCAATCATGAAGAGAAACTTCTTGTTCGCATCGCCGACCAAGCTCTCAAACGCTGCTTTGAGTTCCGGAAAAGTGAACTCGTGTAGGCCGCCAGCGTAAGATTGGAATGCATTCCAGCGATCGGAGAACAGGTTCTGCACAATGACCCCGTCTTCTTCCAGGGGCCCAAATATCATGTCCTGTAAGCTTTCGTAGATTATGGCTCGCAATAGACCAATGGAACTCTTCTGCAGCTCTGTCCCATTGTTCCAAAGAAAGAACCCAGACGTGATGCCGGGTTTCTGACCAGACCACGCCTCGAGATGTGGGAACAAGAGTGGATTGCGGAAGAGATATTTCATCAGAGTGGTTTTCCCTGAGCCCGGTTTACCTGGAGCCGTTGTAAGAAGACATCCAGGGATCGAAAGACGGGATAGTAAGAGATGAAGACGCACCGGTGAGCCAATATATTTCTTCGCCCCTCGTATTAGTAAACCACTCCAGCAAACCGCCAACCTGTCTCGAGCCGTCTCCCATCACCCACTCGAACCCTAAATCGACGGAACTATCGATGCTATTCATCCTTTCGTCCATCTCCTCGAACCACAGCCTCTCGAAGATGGTAGCGCGGAAGTACGCTTCCTTCTCCGCCTGGATGAGCGCATCAACCTGTTTGGAAAACTCCTCTACATCCTTCTTCTTGCTGCTTTTCCAATCATTGCTGTGGATCATATCGAGGGTTTGGTTCTGCCACTTTTCCCAATGCTTCGTGTGCACGCCTTCGTCGCCGCTGAACAGAGCGAGACCAGTCTCAATGGATTGATCCAGATACTGGCGCATAGCGAGCAGTAAACTCGTCTCAATGTCGCGACGAAGGGCACGGTACTTCTTCTTTGTACCTGTCACATTGGCCTTCTTCCACACGCCGTTCAATAATGCTTCGCGCGCAGTGGGCCATCGCGGGTCACCAAACTTTCCCTTCTCTTGCGCAGCAATTAGCGCGTCGATGAATGAAGCTGTCAATTCTTTGACTAGCTCAGCATGCTTCAGCAATTGCAGCGCTGCCTCGCTAAGTTTCTTGGCTGCTTTTGCGCTCTTTGCTGATTTTTCGTCGTACAGCTCTTTGAGCTCAGAGTTGTCAATTAGGTCGGTCAGGCGATAGAGATTGTGTATGATATCTTGTAGGAAGGCTGCATTTTCCACGAGCGGTGTTGTCGAAGGTGAGCTAGGCTGGAAGATGGGATGGTCTTTGCGTAATGCGTTGATGGAGAAGTCGATAGTTTGGATGAGCGCACTTGCAAGGCCGACCGCCGGTATGGGGCGCAACATACTGTGGAATTGCTTTTTCGCGGCACAGCAAAAGCCTAGTCGCGACGTCTGAGCCTTGTGACCCTTTTGATATGCGAAGCGCATGTCTGCTGCGCCCCTAAGGCGTATGCGCACAGACCAAGTTCACTGAGGGCCTAATCCAGGGTGCGGGCGTTTCAAAGTTCAGCGCACGTCGATCTTGCCGACACCACGACCTCCCGCGGTCGTCTCAGGACCGAGGTACTAAGGTCAGACCGTATGGTGCCTTCGCTACGACGACGTCGGGTTGGAACGGTCTTACCTGCCTAGCTATGATGCCACGTTGCCGACTCGACGGCTTCAGCCTGATATTGCGTAATATCGCAGATGCGTAAGAACGCCGCGCCAGCAGTCCGAGGTTGAGAAGGCTCTGTGCTCTTCAATGGCACCAGAAGTTTGAGACTGAGCCGGACGCTTCTGACATGGTAAAGATAGACTGGATCTGCATGGGTTGACGTTTGCCTTGCGCCTACTTCCTCCGTCCTGCCCGGCGCAGTCGTCCCTCACCACAGTGGACCGCTAATCATGACGTTCAACAAGAGTTTCACCTCTTTCTCTTCAGTAGTCCAGCATGGACAAACCATCGATATGGATTTTGGCACTGCCGTTGGTGTCGTTTTCTCGATGTCTTTGCTAGAACTCACATTGTGCTAACAACATCGACTGTCACGGGGGATACCTCTGGAATCCATAACAGATCCACCTCTAAACACACAACCCTCTTGTCATCTTCCATGCTCTACTTTAGCCAATAGCGTTGGCGTCGAATCTCTCTTCTGGCATAAGCTTATGCTTTTCTACCCAAATCCTTCCGCCACGCAAACTCCTCCCTAAACCCCAACAACTCCTTCATCTTCGCATTACAAACCGGACTCTCCCTACCCCTCAACCCGGCCAACACTTCCGTCTCAGGACAAGCCTTCCTCAACCATTCCCCACTGCTCCCTTCTTCCTCCGGCACCGTAATCTCATCATTGACCGCATTAAAAATCTGGAACCCCAACCCATCCGTCTTCAAACAACACTGCACCATATTCCCCAGATCTCGCGCATCGGTATAACTCCACGCATGCACCTTGAAATCCCGAGGCCGAGTCAAATACGCCGAGAACTTCTTGGCGTGGTTTTCAGGTTCTATAACTGCGGAGATGCGCAGGCAGTAGATGTCTACGCTGGGAAAGCGGCGGGCGAAGGAGGCGGCCGTGGTTTCCATGCAGAGTTTACTGGTGGCGTAGACGTCCATGGGGCTTGTGGGACTGGTTTCTGTGAGGGGAAAGTGCGGGTAGGAGACGTTGCCTTCGGCGTAGGTGATTCCGTAGGTGGTTATGCTGGATGCGAGGATGATCTTCTTGATGCCGAGTTTGCATGCTGCCTCGATGACATTGTAGGAGCTTAGGATGTTGATGCGGTAGGTTTCGTTGTCGGGGAGGCGCATGGGTTGGGGGATGCCTGATGAGTGGGGTCAGTCTTGTCAAAAGTTTGTTGCTGAAGTCAAGTTATCTTTCCTGATTCCCTGCTTATTTGCAGGATGTCTAGAAGTGAGATGGAAAATGATACGTACCAGCGAAATGTACGACTGCATCTGGCGTCTTGACTGGCTCCATAAAGGGTTCACTAATCTTGAAGTGGCAGGACAGACTGTTGAAGGCTTGGGCTCCATCTGTGAGATCGGCCTTTAGAGTGTGTATATTGGGATTGTCCAGAGGCGTTGCATCCACGTTGAGTATCTCGTGGCCGAAGGTAAGCAGCTTTTCAATTACATGGCGTCCTGCGACTCCAGAACCACCTGTAAATACTATTCTCTTGGTTTGTGACGTGGCCATCGCGCAAATGCGTGTGAATCTGTGAGATGGAGCGGTAAATGAGATCCGACGAAGGCGTTTATAAGTATGTAAATAAGGAACAACCAGTCGTAGAATTCATAGTGCTGATCGTCAGGTTTGTTGTTCTTGGGCGGAGCTTCCCCGCTCTAGCTTACGAAGCTCTAACCTTGTTGGCTCTCTTGAGTGCCGATGTGCACGGAGTCTTGATGGCCGAATCTAGTAATAGTGCGCGGACATGCAGTATACTAGTAGCAGAAGACCTGGGACAAACTCATACCGGTATTGGTACATTCATTCATGTCTATCATTCAAGCCTCAGCTACTCAGTGAGCTGGCGCTTTTGATCGTTATGTTCGGTCTTGCACATCAATTCCCCTCTACACAACCTGGGTGCCGTAACCCCTGATCCTGTCGGCAAATGCCCAGCTCTGGTTCTCCAGCTTCACGTTCTCATCGAGATCGACGCCGTCCTTGGTAATGACGGCAATCGAGTACTTGTCCATACTCCTGGCATCCCTGTAGAAGAGAACCTTCATGCACTCCTTGATCTTCTCTACCGCCTGCTCCCTCGTGACGTTCTCCACGGCGGCCTCATCTGGCAATATTGTCCTTAGGATTGGCTGAGCGAGATGTGCACCGAAGCCAGTGGCCAGCGATGGTGATGAAAAGGTGGTACCGAGAAGGTCTGCGCTTGCGAGGAAGGGCTTCTTGTCTCCGTCCATGCCCACGATAAGCAGGTGGTTCCACAATGGATCGAACTTTGAGCGGCGATTGTACATGACTTTGGCGAGGTAGGTGTGGAGGTTCTTGGCGTTCAGCGAGTTTTCGGAGGAGGAGTAGTTCTCGCGGATGTCGAGCGAGTTCAGTAGGCGGTCCAGGTACTGCATGTCGGAAACATCGCCGCCGAAACCCACGACGACCTCGTCATTGAACTTCCGTAGGCGCTTGACGTCGGTGAAGCGAGCGAGGGAGCCGTATGAAGCTACATGTATGGTCAGCCAGACCCTCATTGCCTATAGTAGTGTGCCATACCCAGGTTGTCGGCGGCGATGACTACGCCGTCCTTGAACTTGGCCGCAAGTACTGAGGTACCCGTGACGATCGGGCTCTGGGTGTGCTGGTTGGGGCCGGCAGCGGAGAAGTGCGAAGGGTCGTAGGCGCCGTATACATCGTCTCTGGGCTACGATGCATTAGTACTGTTGCTGTTGGAGGCGGGCGGAAGACATACACGACCCCAAGCTTGCGGCAGGTGGTTCATGGTGGAAGAGGCGACTGAAATGCAGAACTGGAGAGACGGTGTTGTTCGGGATTCGGAGAGAGTGCTATGTCGCAGTGGGCTCAGAGATGAGGTTGTTGTTGTCACGACGCTCGTCAGGCAGTCGGTGGTTGCGCAGCTCGCCCGCCAAGACATGGAGCTGGCCCAAGCTCCGCATATTGAGGTCAATCCGAGAGCATCGTCCACCAGCATTGCGCACTCACAATGCTCGGAATCGACTACCCAGACAGTGACGACGAGGACGTCGTGCCCGCGACCAAGCCAGAGGTGAGACCCGCAAATCTGTGCAGAGGGCTCGGATCGCTACTAATATAGAGTTGACCAACATTCCTGCAGCTGTCGCGCCTACCCCAGCGCCTCTCTCCGCTCCCGCGCCTCTCGAACAGCCGCCTACATCGTCGGGTCCGGTGAACGGCCCTGCGCAAGGTCCGACAGTATCGCCGCCTCCAGAGGACGATGCCAACGCGAACGAAGCCGCGCCAGGTTCACCACACACAGCTACACGTGCCCTGATTCAGAACCTTACTCTACCTACCGTACCGAACTTCGATATACCGCCTTCTCCGCCAGGATCACCACCACAGAAAGCGACGAAGAAGTTTGCGCAATTTCTAGAGCTCAAGAAGAAGGGCCAGCATTTTAACCAGCGCCTGGAAGGCTCGTCCGTGCTACGCGATCCGGGACACATGCGAAAGCTGATGGGCTTTGCGGGAATTAGCGAAGAGGACGCATATGCATCTACACTGCCACAAGATGTCGCGATACCGGCAGTCTTCCCGGAGTGGGCCTATGTCGAGGAATTGAGGGCTTCACAGAAGCGCATCGCAAAGACCAAAGACCAAGAGAAATCCAAGGCACCGAGAGAAGCTCTCGAGTTTGTGTCCGCGTCCAAGACTGGCGCGTCGAGTGGAACGGGCGCGGCGTCAAGCTCTGCTACGGGAAAGCGCAAGGAATTGGAACATAGAGGAAAGGACGATCAGGGCACAAAGAGCAAAGTAGAGAGCAGGTCAAGGTCGCCGAAGAGAAGACGATCAAGGTCGAGAGAGAAAAGGTGAGGGGAGAAGATAGCACAGCCTGAGAAGACTTGTAGTAATACTGTGAATGCGGCGTTCGCACAACCAAAATGAAGTACACTCCAAGACATTTGATCCAGACGCTTGCTGTGCATGCCCGCCACAGACGGTAAATGCATGCTCTCACTACATGGGCGCCAAGACACTAGCGCGCGGAAGCTCCAGGCATTCGAGCTGCGTAACTCCAGAGCTCCAGCACCAACAAACAGAAGCGTCGCAACAGCCCACCCCCCTTCCGATACCGACTGTACCTCTGCAACCCCGCCCAAATCCGCCTCTCCAAACCTCGACGATGGCTGCCCTCTACACCGGTGCACCTCCGCAAGGCTGCCCAGGCTATTCGTTCAAGCAGACCCCCACAACTGTCCCGTCAGGCGAGCGGCAACATGGCTTCTATCCGTACGCTGGCTCGCCATGCTGAACATACGCACCGCTAACACAATGCAGCTACACGGACAACGGTGGCTCAACACTGGGCATCTCCGGCGCCGACTTTGCCATCCTCGCAGGCGACACACGCTCGACTTCCGGCTACAACATCAACACACGATACGCACCCAAGCTCTTCAAGATCGGCGGCGAGGGACCAGAGAACAAGGGTGCCAGGATAGTGCTGTCAGTGGTCGGCTTCGCCGCCGACGGTGATGCGCTGAAGGAGCGTCTCGACACCATCGTCAAGATGTACAAGTACCAGCACGGAAAGCCCATGACCGTCTCCGCCTGCGCACAACGACTCAGCCACATTCTCTACAACAAGCGATTCTTCCCCTACTACGTACACGCCATCCTGGCTGGTTTGGACGAGGAGGGCAAGGGTGCGCTGTACTCCTACGACCCGGTCGGCAGCTACGAGAGGGAGCAGTGCAGGGCGGCTGGCGCTGCGGCATCTCTCATTATGCCTTTCTTGGACAACCAGGTCAACTTCAAGAACATGTACGAGCCAGGCAGCGGAACAGGCCACGAACTCAAGTCGAAGCAAGCACAACCGCTACCGCGGGATCACGTCGAGGACCTGGTACGGGACGCCTTCACGAGCGCCGTGGAGAGGCACATTGAGGTTGGTGATGGCCTTCAGATGATGATCATTACAAACGAGGGCATAGCCGAGACCTTCACACCCCTCAAGAGGGACTAAGAAGGTGTGACGTATAGACTTGGGGTGCAGTATCTTCACGAATTTGATGACTTCAAAACACCAAGCGGATGTATAAGTAGCATACCATCATGCTACTGAAGATTAAGAATTCATCTACATGATCAATAACCGAACATGTTCAAGACAACCTACTGTTCTTCTTCTATTGTCTTGATTTCGTTTATCTGTTTATCTGCAATCAATAACTATGTGCTATATCTATAACGTATCCAATAACAGAACGCTGTTGTTAACTTATCTTCTAGTATGCATTATGAAGTGATAAGTAGATTGCTACATATGCTTAGCTAACAGGATACGTAGACAACCTACCTACCTTAGATTAATACACAGAGCACCTAATTGGCATTATGTTCCTATCTTAGCACAAATGTTTTCTCCGCTATTACAAGTAAAAGAAGGCATAGAAAAACACAGGCAAGAGCAAAAAAGAACAGACACCCTTAAGGTATTAAGTGTCTGGTGAAAACTCCGCTACACTCCCCAAATCGGCATCCTGGCATGCTCCGAAGATGCCATGCCAGGACGCCGCCTTGGGGAGTGTAGAAGTGGTTTTATCACGACTCGAACCCGCGGCTTCCAACATAGCTGGGAGCGACCCAGCGTTGGCGGTGGTCTTACCCACTCCTTTGCTATGCTGCACGTTTCCGGCCGATCATCAGGTCTTCCATCCCGAGTCGATGGAGGGACGTAGAAGATCTAGGACTATATAGCGAGAGAGAGTTCGTGATATACTCTGTATAAAATAGGCGGTGGAGGGAGATGGCTGGACTGGTGGGGAGGCGAGGTGAAGGTGAGTGTGGGCGTTTGCTATTTTGCTGGGTGAAGACAGGCTGTGCGTGTGTGGCCTGTGGGAAGCGAGAGGTTTGACGAAGAGAAAGATGGTGAAGACTGAAGGATGACAAGGCTATGATCATGACGAAAGGATGGCTTGAGAGGAGAGACAAAGGTTGCTGATATACTCACGTGGGCATCAATAGGGTGGATGATGTAGCAACAAAGACATCGGAGAGACCACAACCCAACACATATAAGAGATTGAGGCATGAATAGAGTACGACGAGGTCGACCAAAGATGTGCGTCGATGAAGGAACGAGGGAGGTTCGTGTGCGTCGTGCGCGCCCCCGGGGCCCCTGCCCCAAACGTGCTAGCCGTCCCCACATCGGCAACAGCCAGCCAGGTGCCGACCCATCACTCTACCTACTGCAACTCGAGCACGTACTTCTCAGGCGGCCACTTCATCTGGACTTAAGCCTTCTATCACCTCCGACGCCATATTGGGAAGAGGAGAAAAACAAGCTTTCTAACCGAAGAACCGGATCTGGGAAATGCGCAAACGCGGCACGCGTCGCTTCTCGAATTTCATCTAAACAGATTGCTTTCGATAACTCGTCGCACTAAGACCTGGATGTCTCGCCCGATCGCCCTAGATCACGGTCTCGCGAATTCAATGTGAAAATCGAACGTTCAGTTGCCGAAGGTGTTGGGGCTGCAATCCACAGGAACAGCATGGTTACCACTGCCAATCAGCACATACGCGTTACGAGTGTTGAGATTCTCGATCCCGAACCGCAGAGATGCGAAGAAGAAGCTACCATACGTTCACAAGACTTGCGCCCAACCGAACCGACGGGAGCTTTATCCGGTGGCTCGTAGCACACGCATTATATGCAAGCAAGCCTGCACGACACCCCCAAAAGCATACCTGTCAAACGAATCTAGAGCCCAGTTTCGGTGTAGTCAACACTGAATGGCTGCCTTTGGCGCACTGATTAATTTCCACACCACCTGCAGGACGTTACACGTGGAAAACTGAACCCGGGTTACGGCACTGACAAGCTTTGCTTTCATATAATCGCAAGTCACACGACGATGCCATACTCTAGAATGTTGCCTCTTGGGGTGTAGTCGCCTAGATCGATACCGTGGGCTACACTCCACCTGTAAGCGAGCATGTTGTATACTTCTTAGGGGATACAGAGGCAAGTATAAAGAGACGATAGGTAGGTATTCAATTCGATACCATCCCAGAACAGTCACAACACTTGCGTTCATTTCATCCAACGATCATCGGCAGAGCATTTATCATGAAGAGTGCAATCATCTTGACCGGCGTTGCTGCCTTCGCGACACAGGTAGCCTCTCATGCCACTTTTCAGCAGCTTTGGGTAAACGGTGTAGATCAGATAAGTACCCCCAAGTGTCTTGTATCAACCGCTGACATCCATCCACCAGTCGACGTGCGCAAGATTACCCAATGGCAACAGCCCCGTCACCTCAGTAGCAAGCAACGACATCCGCTGCAACGCCAACCGCGGTCCAGCAGCCTCGAAATGCAGCGTTCCTGCCGGTGGTACCGTCACCGTAGAGATGCACCAGCAGAACGGCGACCGCTCATGCGCTAACGAAGCCATCGGCGGAGCCCACTACGGCCCCGTTCTGGTCTACATGTCCAAGGTTGCAGACGCATCCACAGCGGATGGTTCGACCCCCTTCTTCAAGGTCTTCCAGGATACATGGGCGAAGAACAGCGGTGGCGGTGGCGGTTCGGATGATTACTGGGGTACTAAGGATCTGAATAAGAACTGCGGAAAGATGGATGTGAAGATTCCCACCAACCTGGCCCCTGGAGATTATCTACTGAGAGCGGAGGCTATTGCGCTACATGCTGCAGGCAGTGCCAACGGCGCCCAATTCTACATCACCTGCTACCAGATCACTGTCACTGGTAGTGGATCTTCTTCACCCGCTGGCGTATCGTTCCCTGGAGTATACAAGGCTACCGACCCCGGTATCCAAATCAACATCTACCAGAACCTCGCTTCGTACGTCGCTCCCGGTCCGGCAGTCATCGCGGGTGGTACAGAAGCCGTCGCTGGTAGTGCTGGATCCGCTGTCACTGCTACTGGTGGAGCGCCAGTTGCTACAGCTACTGCAACCACGATGAGGACGTCGGCGATAGCCACCTCTGCCGCCGCTGTGCCAACGAATGGAGGTGGTTCTGGCGCTTGCTCTGTTGCAAGGTACGGCCAATGCGGCGGAAATGGGTTCACTGGATGCAAAACTTGTAAGTCGGATGAGCTGAGGAAACGTGCAAATAAGCCTTTACTAACGGTGTGTAGGTGCTTCAGGACTTACCTGCAAGGCCGGAGGTGATTACTACTCGCAGTGTGTCTGATTAGCTTGAATGCAGTCCAAGGGAGGCCCGTAGAAACTTCGTGTAAATACTTTGCAGTTGACACAGGCGCCAAAACCTGTTGCATTCATCAAATGACATTCGTTGTAGCCGCCTAGGTGGAATCAAAGTCTGCGTGATAGGGAAAACGCCCTCCCACAGCTCCATCGCATTTATCGCATCCAAGAACATTGTCAACATTAACATGCCTGGATCTGACTCATTTGGTCGCATGTGCCCTTTGAATGTCATGGGCTTCTAGACTCCGCCCTTTCCATCGGAGCAAACACGTCAAGCTAACCCTCTCCAACCTACCGGCAAAACCATCGGCACTATTTTCATTCCGAAGATTCTCAGTCACCATGCAGCCATAAGGATCCATGCAAACAAATAACAACAATCCAGATCAGGAAAACCAGTCAGACTTTGCAAAACACACCTGACGCGTGTATCCTGACATATGTGCATGCAACGTTCTTCAGTGCCGCGATTCGGCATTGGACGCCTAACACTGTTGCCTAGCGCTGACACCACGATGCTTGCACTCGCTTACCAAAGCCCGCCAAGTAGGTACTCCGAGGGCTGCACCAAATGTGTAAGGCATGCAGTTAATGGCTTGTGCTGAGTGGGGAAGAGTCAAGTTGAATTCCGAAGCAGCTGGAAAGGGCAATGACGAACCTGATAGGGTCTCCGAGCTGATCGGTAGTGATATGACGAGTCTGCATATAAGAAGACATGTGGAACATCAATGGCAGAGTCATACTTGTCAACGAGAGCAGTCGCATACATTAAATCAACTGTCTCAGCCTCTCGATATCTCCAAGCAGTATTGATACGACGTCTACTTGTCACTGCTACCGAAGTACCACCACAATGTCTTCTCAATCCAACACTACCTCACCAAGCGATCTGCCACGCTATTCTACCACGGCACCACCGCCATACTCATCTTCCGATGCGAACTCTCTAGTCTCAACGAAATCAACGTCGAAAAGTATTCTGGCAAAGTTGCTGAATCGAAAGCGTATGTTCATACATCCTTAAGGATGAATTGGAACTCTAGCTAATACAGATAGCAGCTGCTGGAGCGATATCGCAGTCGAGCAACGAAGCGCAAAAGAAAGTCGATGAGTGTGAGAATAGAGCTGCTGCGAGAGCGGCGTACTTCTCCGGGCTTTGAACTATTCACCGCCTTTAGAGGAGTAAGATTGCCGGATGTGGGTTTCGGAATGATGCGTGGAATAGTTCGCATGCTTAGAGCCTGGGAATAATGTTGCTGGAAGAGCGGTTCGAGGCGTACATTGTGTCAGATTTCCATAATATATCGGGATTCGAGTATGAGGCGTTGGATGGTTTGTTTTAGTTGGCCGAGGCTTTGCAGTCCTGTTGACACAATTGATTACACTCAGAACAAGTCCTGGATTGGTCAGCAAATTCTTTCTGCATGTGACTCTTCAGCTTACCGCATTATTCCACGTTGCATTGTCTAGCCAGTTCAGAAAGTCGGAGGACTCTGTCGGTATAGGTTCCAGCCCCTCGGTCATGGGCATATCGAAGAATCCCTGCCCCATCCCGGTCAGATTAGCTGCGGTATCGTCACCGGCATCTGGTGTGCCTTTGATTGGAGGTTCGTAGTTGAGGACCTCATCTAGTACCAGCGCGAGCATTTTGTTGAGCTCGTTGCAAAGCTTGAGATTGCCGTCGCCGGGAAGAACGCTCCATTCCAAACATGAAGTCAGCACGGAAAGGTTACGGATTATGTCGGCCCGGGAGACTGTGCTAGGCAGTGGTACGCCCTCAATCGTACATCTCCGCAGCTCTAGTGCCAATACACCAGCAGCTGGGGAACAGTAGAATAAAATGACAGTGGGGAAATGGCGACGAGTTTCGTATATGCGGTTTTGCGGCTTAGAAGCCACGAGTGAGGACACCAGTAGCTTCAGAGACACTTCCAACAATGCCGGCAGAGCTTGTTGCGTTATCCGATGAAGGAGGCGTTGTGTTTGGAAATGTACGTGCAGGTAATCCAGGTAGTAGGCGACCAGTCGCATGGCCAGACCAGGACCGCGGTCTACCCAAGCAGCTTCTTCGGTATATGTATCATAGCGAAGGTGAGTCGGTAATGAGTTCCACCATTCGGCACATTCGGCAGATATTGCTCTGCTCTTGTTAGCCGAAGGTTAAAAAGCGATGGGAAATCTAGACGTACTCGACATTCCGCACCACTTCACTATCCTTTTCGCCTGCAAGACTTTGCTCTAACAACCTCTCTTTAAACACAGCAAGTTGGCATCGCATCCTACCGAAAGTAGTAGGGTGTAGATGACCTTCGGTATTCCAACCGTCGCTGTCGAGCTTCGAGAGCGCAGCATTGAGTACTTCAGTATCGTCCGAGGCCATAGCGCGATCGCTAATGTCCAACAACATCTTGCGGTCACTGTATCTCCAGCCCATCATCGGAGGCCTTCCGTAGAACACCGCTAGCGTCTTGTCGCCGTAATATATCGCCGCGTAGAGTCGTCTCCTGAATTCGCGCATGAAGAACGGTTCTGCGTTGCTACCGTCTACGTTGCAAGCCTCGCAGTGGATTCCCGCAGCGTAAAGTGCGGATACGCTGTCGCCCATACGCCTCCAAGTAGCATGATCTGGAGAGTCAGCGATCGTAATTTAGTCTTCTGGATGTAGGGGTGACGTACGGTTGTCCCCATAGAAGCTACTGACTACCATCAGGTTGATGTAAACGAGGCATACCATGACTGCTTCCATCAAAACGTGTACGGTAAGTCTGCGTATGAATGATACGTACGCTCATTGACAGCGCCATGTGTTTGGCAGATGTTGATACACGTATTGGTTGCATGCATTATGTCCTCGATGAACTCCTCTCTATTCATCTGCTTGCCATCTTCTAATGTGAAGAGGGGGTCGTTAGGCGATGTGAACTGGGCACTAGAGCCGGCAATCGCCATGATCAAGCCCAAAATCTCCCATCTCAGATTTTTGCCTGTGAAGAGAGTGTGGAACTCTGACGGACGCATATCTGAAGGTATTTTCATTGGGCGAGCGGAATTCCTTGTCATCTCGGCGTAGAGCAGGTGTGCGTGATTACCAGCAGCTTGAAGTTGTTCTAAGTCTATGCGCAGTTGTGGCAACGCGGAAAGAATTAGGGGACCAGGGAGGGCTGGATCTAGAATCTCGATGTACTAAGTCAGTTTATGTCTCATACGCAGTTTGTACCTGAGAGATTTTACCCTTGTGCGATTCGAAATACATATGAAGAGACCTTTCATAGAAGGAAAATGGCTGAAGCGTAGAGACTATCGTATCTCCTAGAGAGAACTGGCAATGGCGGTGTGCCATGCCTCTATTTGACACGAAAGGGGCTGTGCTCGGACTTTCGGATGGCTGTTCATGTACTGTGTCTGGTAGCGGCTGCTCTTCTGTAAACACAGCGGCATAGCTAGTAGAACCCAAGAAGAAGTTCCGGGATGGGTCGGGTCCGCTTTGTGTTGTTCTAGTAGCAGAATCTGGAGGAGTAGGCCATGGCCCAATCCCCGCATCATTCCTCAAAGTTGGTGGACTTAGGGTCAACGGCGTCAACCTCCCCTGACTGGATGACGGATTTGTAGCCTGCGCATCCAACCGGCGACGACGCGGCTCTGGCTTCTTGCGAGGGGTGCCAGCAGGCTTCGTCATTGGGTTAGGATGATAAAAGCACTGTTCTGTCATCCCACGAGTCTGGCACTTTGAGCATGTGGGCGTGGCATGGTCGCACTTGATTTTCGATATGCGACATGGTTCGCACGACCTGCGCGTCACGATTAGCCACCCGTGGGTATCTGACTGTCGAATTCACCAACCTGGGCTTCCCGTTCCTTCGCAGCATACTAGATGATTCTCCGAATAGTGTAAGATTAGTGCGAAAGAACTGTTCCGCACCTAAGCTCACGTATCTCCTACATACAGAAGCAGAACCTCGTCGGAGTAATTCTTCAATGTTCCGGCGAAACGGCCCCGCAGCTTGCTAATCCCAAGTAGGTCTAGATCACATCGCTTCACGCCCCATAGTCTCTCTCGCCATTGGATGAGGTTGCTGATAAGCGGGAGTCTACTGGTGATGTACATGATTCTTACTGGAAACAGCTAATGACACGGAATATTCGGAGTGAAAGAATGTCACCAGCCACACAAATTGCAGAACGCTCACCTGGGCAGTCATCAGGTGCATTCATTAGAATCCGCTCTGGAGGTGTTCGCTGATTCCTGCGTGAACAGGCTGATTGAGTACAGGTAAAGATTGAGCGATGAGCGACACTGGATTACTCGTATCGGATATGTGAAGGACTGCTGACACGCAGTACGGAGTTCTCGATGCCGATGATCTAGCGCGAACTTCGGACATCGATTCCGTCGAAGGCTCCGCGTCAGAAGTCGTATCTGACATTCTGTGGCAAGTCTTTTCCGAGCAAATAAATGCCATTCGCTATGTATGCTGGTTCTCTGTGTTAAATTTAAAAAGAGCGCCCCAGGCGCCAACGCTGAACAATGCTAGAGTAAACTTGCTACCAATCCACAAGCGTGTACATCTTCGTATGTTTGGGTATAATGCATAGCCATAATCACTGCCACCATCTTGCCTCTCAGCTCGCTACATGTAGTTGAGAAGGGACCATAATCGCCACCATCAATGTCCCTTTCTGAGGCTTCTGAGACTACTCCTGGGCAATCTCTTGGGATCTTCCCCTTCGACTATGACCTTCGTAGTGACGCGTATATTCTGCTCCTCTTCGCTCTCGCCGAGATTGCTCATTGGGTACAGCTCGTCCTGGCTCCCTGTTCTTACATCATCTTCCTCGCCATGAGTGCTCAGTTTGCTACCTTTTGTCACACGACTAGCGTTCCCTAAAGAACGGCCCTTGGATCCAGGGGTAGCAATGCCAAAGTGGTATCCCTCAGTAGAACTCTGCTCTTTTCTCGATACCCTTGCGCGGTAGAAGCCGTACATTCCAGGCATATTGGCGGTGATGATCGCTACCGCGAATTCGATAGACGTGACGATCGTGACGGAGCCGAAGATGTACGACACATCTTTCGTGTTTGCGAGTTGCCACAGGACGATGAAGCGAAGAAGCGAAATCATAATCGTGCAGCCTCCAAGGGTAAAGACGCACATCAGACCGATTCGGCGGCGGACCGTAGTTTGTACGTTCCACAGAGGGTAGATCGGGAGGAGGTAAATCACTACGTCCATGAAGACGTTCTGCATATTGTCAGTGGAGATTAGTCTGACAGGTGACGAGCGACTTACAGCAACGGAGGGCAAGTAGTATGATAGACCAGAGGAAATGCAGACAGCGTTCGGATAAAGTTCTGGAGTGAAAAAGGCTTGGATGGGGATACATTGCAGGCCGTAGAAAATCCATGTGCCGCCCGTCTGCAAGCCGACCAGGATCATAGTGGTTATTACCGCGATCCTAAAACCTGGTGTGACCTCGAGTGTGCGGCGATAGAAGAAGAGGAACGACATCTTTATGAAGAACTGTAGAAGAAGATAGTAGAACTCTTCTGCGAAGAGATACTGCCTTATGTGTCAATATGTATGACCAAGCGAACGAAAGCGCGCACTGCACGTAAGACTGCCATAACGTACAGTGCTGATTTTCTTGAGGTTTTCAGGCTTAACACGAGGGTCGGTAACGTGCCTAGAAAAACAGTTGGAAAACTTCCCTCCAGAAAGTGTCAAACTTACAGTCCACCGCCTAAGATGGTCCACATCCAAGCGATATACTGCTGCCCGATGAACAAAATCTGTCTCTGGGTCAGTCACAGCGCGGCTCAGAAACAGGGTAGGTTTAACACTCACAGTTCCAACCAGCATGAACCAGTCGTCTGTACCAAAAGGCTTTCGTATAAAAGCTCGAGTGTAAAGCCGGATAGCAGATGATATCAAGCCCATTATGAAGAATGGAACTGTGGTGATCCAAACAATGGGCTGAATATTATCGTACACCACCAAATTCACATTATCTCCGGCTCTTCGGACGAACTCCATAGTGGGCAGTGAACAGTACGTGAAAACTCCAAACGGTATGCACTTCTTCTCAACAAATACCAAAAGATCGCGAGTGTTTCGTCCGGCCGCAATAAGTCGAAGTGCTGCGAGTGAGTAAAGAGTAACCCCTTACAAAACGGGGAAAGGTATGTGTCGCTATACGCGACGCAGGAACCATTTGATTTTTGCAGCATGTGCCCAATGAAACGGTGCGTGAGTCGGCATGAAGAAGCGCTCCCGATCCTTGTCATGAAGTCGGCCCTATGTCGTTGAAGTTCGCGACTCGTTACTAGGACGAGTATCGGGTGGGGGTTGCCAACGGTCCAAACATGCGGTAGCGACATTCGGTCCTGATGAGGAGACTCCTTTGGGCACGAACGTGCGGCGTGACGCAGAGTGATAAGCGGTGGCATTACCACGGTGTTCTTCAAAACTGATGTTATCTCCCTATCGCGACTTACGTTATAGGCAGTCCGCGAGCTACCCTTAAGGCTTAACTGTAATGCCTTGTTGTATCCTGATCAACTAGAAGTAGACTTTATACTTGTCTCCTTATGTATGCGCAAATGGTATGTGGGTAGTGGAACGCGAACACTTCGGAAGTATTGTGCATTGCCCTAGTCAAAATCTGGGGTTGGACTCCACGGAAGTCTGCATGAGGTGAGATATGCTTTCATTCAAGCTCGCGCCGCGCCGTTGCCGCTTGCCGCGCCTAGATTCCGCACGCACTCACCATGCTTCCTGCGAGACATTAGACTGTCCTGGCGAGACCGTACAAGAGTGAGTCAGGAACGGCACTTTATCGGATGTAGAACTGCAGGTTTTCCGACCGAAGTAACGCCTCACAAACAGTTCATGATTGGCGCACTGGTTAAAATGAACCTTGCCGTCTCCACAGTGCAAGGCGCGCAACGTCGAGGCTTTGATATGATCAGCTGCTGAAATTCTCCGTCCCCAAGGGTCGTGGTTTTAAGCGAAATCCTTCTGTCTCTTATTCATTGCATTTTTCTGGAGCTTCTCGGCCTCAACCACGTTTTACCCCAGCAAGCAGCATGTCCGCGAAAGAGCTTAGGATCCGCCCAGCAGGTTGGGAGAGCGCTCCTGCAGAGGAGGACTTCGCTCTCTCCGATATGGACCACACCATGCCGAAGATCTATGTGCAGATAGTGGAGGTGTTCCAGCTCGCGCCACATGTTGAAAAGGCCAAGGTCGTGGATAGCATGGCCAAGGGTCTCGAAGTCACATTGAGCCAGTTCCCAATTCTCGCCGGCGGCTTGAAGATGGACGCGGACAATGGACGGCTGTGGGTGACGAAGAAAAAGGACAGTGAAGTCAGTCTGTTTGTGCAGAACCTGGAGGAAACGTTTCCTTCGTTTGAAGAGCTGGATAGGACCGATTTCCCAGCCGCGACGTTCAAGGGACACAGGTTGTTGCCCAAGGCGGTGACAGAGAAACAACTGTTCTCGCCGCTTGGGGACAATCAGGAAGACGATCTCCTCATTTCTACGTTTCAAATAAATTTCATCAAAGGCGGTCTCGTCCTCGGTGTTGCTATCCATCACAACTGTTCCGACGGCCCGGGATGCGACGGCTTCCTTACCACTTGGGCGCAGAACTCTGCAGCGGTGGCCAATGGAACTTCCTTCCAGGTAGTCCCCAAGGAAACGATGGACCGATCGCGTCTCAGTGCAAAGAAGCCAGATGCTGCGCGGTGGAAGGAACTCGACCACAAGTTCCCCGTACTTAAGGATGGCGGGGGTCCGCCTCCTCCACCGCCAGCCGACTTCAAGATGCCCGAGTTGGCTATTCGAATGTGGCATTTTCCTAAGAGTAAGACGGAGGAACTCAAGTCTCGAGCCATGACAAAGACAGGAGACAGTTGGATCTCGACTTACGATGCAATTATGTCCATCCTCTGGAAGAGTATCACACGGTCCAAGCTTGAGCTTCTCCACCCTGATCTTGGCAAGGAGGTCATCCTAGTTC